AAAAAAAGCTTGGAAACCATAGCTGAAGGAAATGGGAATACCCCTGAAGGGTTAAGTCAAGACGTCGCTGGGTTAGATCTGCCCCTTTGCAAGGTGACTTCAGCTATGTGGGCATGATGGCCAGGAAGGGCAGGGCCAGAGAAGAGGGGCCAACATTGAGGCTGCCTCTATAGTCCTGAGAAGAGGGGCTTTATGCAGCACCAGAGGGGTAGGCTGCCTCTTCCCCGCGTAAGCTTGGCCTTCGATATCAGAATCCTTAGAGTCATTCCATGTGGAAGCGAGCATAGGGGTGGGTCCAGCAAGGCAGTCAAGGGCAGCTTGTGCCCAGAGCTTGCCCCCACCTCCCACCCAGGATAGCCTCAGTCAAGCCTACCCCATCTGGGTTTCAGGCACCAACTGACCCTTTAGGCCAGTTTCTCAACCTCGGCACCATGGAAGTTTGGTTCGGATCATTCTTCACTGGTGGGGGGGGGGGGAGGGTGCTGTCACGTGCATTATGTAGCATAGTTTAGCAGCCTCCCCGGCCTCAACCTGCTAGATGCTGGGAGCAGCCTCCAGTGGGCCAACCAAAAATGTCTCCAGATAGTACCAAACGTCCCCTAGGGAGTGAAGGTGCTCTCAGAGAACCACTGCCCTAGACACTCTCCTAATTGCTAGTCCCAGAAAAAGAACACAGTCTCTCAAGTCAGGAAAAACTGGGTCCTGGTCCTTGCTGCATCCACAAGGGCTCTGTGACTTTGGGCAGGCGGTTTTACCTCCTTTCCAGTCTGTAAACTCAGGATGGTAAACGTGGAGCCCAGCACACAAAGTGGCCGAGAGAGCTGGGAGGGCCAAGGCATTCAGACAGGACCTTGAGTGTTCTGAGGAGCTTGGGAAGGGAAGGAGCACTTCTGATGTCCACCGTGTGCCAGGTTTCTTTCCATTTTGTTTGAGCATTTAGGCTCCAGAGAGGCTGACGTGAGCCATTTCCTGGGCCCTGCCCAAGGAGCTGGAATCTAGAACCACCCCTGGGAAAACAGTGCCTCCTTCTGTTGCAGAGGGGCCCAGGGCCTCTGGCTGGAAAGTTACAGAACCCCACAAACCAGGCTGGAAGCTCCTTCAACCATCACAGCATCAGAGCTGGAAAGGGACCTTTCAAGGCCTCTAGTGCAAGCCTCCAGACCCGTTCCTCCCTAAGTCCCGCTGAGAGCAAGCTCAGTCTTGCTTGCACACTTCTCGTGACAGGGAGGTCACCCCCTTCTCCCAGAACGTCATTGGAGTGATGTGCCGGGCGCAGAGATCTGGGATTTCAGGCCCTTGGCTAAGTGGCAGGGCCTTCTCCACCTCCCTCTTGCTCTCCCCCTTGGAGGAGTGGGGGACAAAGGAAGGGGTTGCACGGGCCGGGTGGGTGGGGGGTGCTTGCCAGCATGAGGAGAGCCCCAAGGAATGGCTCTGCAGAGGAAAGTTTGGGAGACCCAACCTCAAACTTTGGTTGGAACCTTTGGGATGCATTGAGGGGATCCTGGGCCAGCAAACAGCATGCTGGATTGTGGGGCTGCCTCGTCCTTCCCTTCTGATATCCTCAGGGCCCCAATCCATGACCTATGTAACCTCTCCCTTCTGGGCAGAGGCCCCTACTCCTAAGGATGGCCCTACATCCTGGCTGCCTTCCCGAAGGTGCCCCTGGTTTCGACGTCTTCCTCACCGCAGCACCTTGGCTCTGTACCCTGGACCCCATGCCCCAGGCATGGGGGACCCTAGCTCCCACGCAGCCCTGAAACCAGAATCCGTCCTCTGCTTAACTCTTGACCCAAAAGCCCCTGACAGTAGGCGACACAGTTTCCTCCCCCAACCCTTGCCCCACCTTAGGCCTCCTCCAAGACTGGCTGGTGCTCTCCTGAGCCAGGGCCCCAGACGTTTGGGGTGGAAGGGCCCCCAACCTGGGAAGGTCCCCACAGCAGGGAGGCAGTGGTGACACCCCAGGGCATGGGATGGGGGACGTTTGCCTAGGTCCTATTCAGACAGTGATAACATGGTCCTTGAAACTCTTGGACACAGAGTTTCTGTACCAGGTACTGGCTAACCTGGGCACGTCCTGGACAACCTGAGGCCTCCCCGCATCTGTCTTCCTCCAAGATCTGGGGGGATGTGGTGGGGGAGCTGGGGTGTGGGAAGGGAAGTCTGAGCACACACACAGACATGCACAGGTGCGTTCCCGTGCACACAGACACGTGTGGGTGTTGTTGAAATGGGGGTTCATTAGGCAGTGGGGGGTGTGGGTCTGGGAGGGAGGACATCAGTCCAGGTGGGCAGAGCTCAGGCAGTGGAGACCACAGAACCAGGTTACAGGCCTTCACCGGGAGGCTGGGCACCAGGCACGTCTGGGGCAGATACGAGGGCCCAGTAGCTGGACCCTCTGTAGCCGGCACACCGCGCCCCGTAATAGGGGCACTATTTACGCCGAAATCTGCGTGGTGCAGACCTTTGCACCGCCTGCAAAGCTGCACTAGGTCCTAAAGCCCTGACCTGACCGGTGTGGGATCAGAGAGCTCTGGCAGGAAAGGAAGAAAATGTGGACACGTGTCCACACCCTGGTACCTGGGTACCCACACCGTCACATGTGCGCACACGCACGCACACAGACACGCACACGTGCACAAACACACACCCTCGACTCCACGCGGCCTGCCTCTGTGTACAGTGAGGACCCAGAGGCCTTTCTCAGTGTGCATGGCCAGGTGAGCCTCTCCACCCCTCAGCAGCCTGTCTGTGCCCAAAGGGTGGCCATCTCCACCTCCACCCACCCACCTGAGCCAGACCCAGCTCTCCCATCCTCCTGTCTGTCTCTGACTCCTTTCTTGGGTCTCTCACTCCTTCCGTCCTGACATCTGTCTCCTGTGCACCCCTTATCTGTCCGCGCAATGAGGGGTGGGAGATGGGGGTAGGGAGGGGATCGGCTCAGACTGACCCTGCAGCAGCTTCTTGTAGGAGTCAGGGTCCCCCTCACCACACCCTTGTTCCATCCCCAGAGTCTCCACTTGGTGGAGAATCAAAACCCAGTAGCCATGCCCAAGTCCTAAGTCAGCGGTGTCCCCACGCACACCCGCTCCCAGCTCCAGCTAACTTGGCTCTCTCCCCCACCCGACCTGCCCTGCCAGCAGCCGGATGGCCATCAAGGACCGCATCCGCATGGGCAGCTCCCAGCGACGGACGGGCCCCTCCAAGCAGCACCTGGCGCCTCCACCGATGCCCACCTCCCCGAGCAGCGAGCAGGTGGGTGAGGCCACCAGCCCCACCAAGGTACAGAAGAGCTGGAGCTTCAATGACCGCACCCGCTTCCGGGCCTCCCTGAGACTCAAACCCCGCACCTCTGCTGAGGGTGAGCCCCTGGGGGTCTGGGACCCAGGACCTACCTGCATGGGGGGCAGGGTGGGGACACAGTCCGGGCTGGGGGCAGAAAGACAGTTCTAGTCCCAGCTCTATAGCTGATGGACCATCTTTGGGCTCTGGTCTTCTGGTCTGTGAAATGGATGTCGTGACACCTGCTTTGCTGGCCTCTGGAATCACATGAGAATTCAGAGGGTGGCACTTGGTAGTGGTTAAGAGTACAGGCTTTGGAGCCCGGCTGCCTGGGTTTGAATCCTGGCCTTTGCTACTTATTGGAAAGTTACAGAATCCCACAAACCAGTCTTTGGGGGGAGGGGTGCTGACCTATGGGAGTCGGGGCATGGCTAGTGCCCAGGGCCTCTTCTCCCCTGCCCAAGAAGCTGCCTGGCCTTCCCCCACTCCTGCCACCCCCATGGAACAAGGATAGTATCCCCTCTCCATGCAGCGTACTGGCCTGGGAAGAAGCATTTCTCTTCCCCGGGGAGAGAATGACTTGCTTTCCAGGGCCTTTCCCCCTTGTCTCCGGGGCTAACTGTCCTGGTGGGACCATAGGCCTTCCTCCGGGGCTGTGTGTAATTTGCCTCAGGCCAAACCAGAAGTGCCCTAAAGCAGCTTCCGCTCACCTGGCCACTGGGCAGATTCTTACTGTGACTGGTCGTAGGGCAGATGGGCACGCAGTAAACCAGGGTTTTCCACCCTGGGTAAGGCAGCTAGGGAGGCAGGAGCCTGGTCTGCCTCGTGCCCCCAGGAAGGTTCTGCACCCTTACTGAGCCTCTCTTTATCGGTATCTCTAAGGGTGGCTCGGCAAGTGGTGGTCGGGGTTGGGAGTGGCCCCCTTCTGCTGCCACCACTCGGGCCCCCTGACTTTGCAGAGGGCCCCTCGGAGGAAGTGGCAGAGGAGAAGAGCTACCAGTGTGAGCTCACAGTGGACGATGTCATGCCTGCCGTGAAGACGGTCATCCGCTCCGTCAGGTGAGACTGAGGCCCGAGGTGCCCCCCCCGGCCCCCCAATCCGTCTGCCACCCATTGCTGCCCCCCGTCTGGGGCCTGCCCTCATGGCCAGGCCTGGCCTAGCTCCCGGGCACACCAGCTGCTGCCCGCCTGGCACCCTTGGCGGTGCTGGCTGGCGGGGGCCCTGGAGTGTGGGTGGGGTGGGAGGGGCATA